CCGAGCTGGCATTTCAGAGCCCTTAATTGTGGAACTTGAGAAGAAAATGGGCACATTCTTCCTGAGATGGTTATTCAAATACAGGCTGCTACGGACCCCAGTCCCACCTCTCTGGGCCCCACTTTTGTTCTGTTTCCACATAAAATGCATGAGGACTACTGAACCTTTCCCCCTTGGCCACTCCTTTATTGCCATCTTTGCTGGGAGTGGCCTTGTTAAAATGTGCCCCATGCATTAAAATGAAATTGTCACTCCTGGGTGGTGCAGCATAACGTGGTTTGACACTAAATGCCGGCAGCTACAGAAAACAGAATTTTATTGCATTTGTTCTTTCAGAGAAGAGAGTCTCTAAAGGCTCACAGCAGACTTCACTTAGTTAAATCTGAATGAACCCAAAGTGAACAATCTATGCTGCTGTCTTTGTGTTCATAGAAACAGCCCCCATCCAGCCTGATATGGCTGTAAAACAGCTTTAAGAAAAGATGATCATATTTAGAATTCAGATGGGAAGACTTGAAGCTTTCAAACCACTGAAATATTGTAGGTGGGTGGAATGAAGGGGCTAGCCACCTGATTTTCTTTCTTAGCTTCCTCTGTGTCCCCTAAAACATATAATGTAAAATCAACTTAACACTAACCCCATCTAGATTGGGTCTTCTTTTAGAATTCCATGTCATTTTAAGGCAAAGAGAAAGGATTTGTTTGAGGACTTCTGCAAGCAAGTTTTAGAGTCTTAACTGCCTTTTAGCTGGATGAGTACCCAGAGAGAGATTGAGCAGGGAGGGGGCTCTAGGGCATAGGCTTTTCATTCTGTAGCTCTCCTAGAATAAAAATTCCATAAAGTAACATCTGTAGTAATTAAGGGCTTACATTTCCTCTCCCATTCATGTCTCTGCTAGGAGGAAAGGTTATTTTCCCTGAGACAATAGATAGTAGATCCTGTGGGAAGACAGAACACAGTTAGAATTCATTTGTTCTTAGAAATGGAAGCTTCCTACTTACAAAAAGGAAAAAAATCTGAACACATTGGAAGACTTATAATAAAACATTCCACTGGAAAGACAACTTAAAAGAGTTGGGCAAATTATATTTAGCTGGCCCTAATGTTTGGAATAAGCAAAGATTCATCTTATCTCTATTATGAAATAGCTTTTGATTTGCAAAATGCTATCTTTACTCTTCTTTATTAAAACTTTATACTATGATGCTTACATATTTTTATGTATACATCAACTCAATCTTAAGATTTTCCCCAAATAACATTTATGTGGATCTTTTTGTGTCATTTGATAAAATGAATACTGACCTATTGACCTCAAATTGGTTTCTTGCATTAATAGCCAGATCAACAACATAATTCATGAGGCCCAGTGAAAAAATGATGACGTGGAGCCCCTTATTAAAACAACAACAAAAAATTATCAAGAATTTTAAGATGGTGATAGCAGAGCTTTCAATCAAATGCATGCTGTTCTATGGGAGGGCTCTGTGTAAGGAAGGATACAGGTATCATGCCCATGAAGTTGGACCTGGTTGGTGGTAGGGATTTGCCATGTGTAGCAATATAGGAAGATTTCATCTCATGAATCACAGGAATGTACACCTGAAAACAAACTTTAAAGATTTGGCAGGAAATAATTACAGCTCTCTAATGGAGTTTCTGATATGATTTTTTTTTTAAATGTTTTTTATTGGTTGTTAAAAACATTATAAAGCTCTTGACATATCATATTTTATACATTGGATTCAAGTTGGTTATGAACTCCCAATTTTACCCCAAATACAGATTGCAGAATCACATCGGTTACACATCCACATTTTTACATAATGCCCTATTAGTAACTGTTGTATTCTGCTACCTTTCCTATCCTCTACCATCCCCCCTCCCTCCCCTCCCATCTTCTCTCTCTACCCCATCCACTGTAATTCATATCTCTCCTTGTTTATTTTCCCATTCCCCTCACAACCTCTTATATGTAATTTTGTATAACAATGAGGGTCTCCCTCCATTACCATGCAAATCCCCTTTTCTCTCCCTTTCCATCCCACCTCATCTATCTGTTTAATGTTAATCTTTTCTTCCTGCTCTTCCTCCCTGCTCTGTTCTTAGTTGCTCTCATTATATCAAAGAAGACATTTGGTATTTGTTTTTTAGGGATTGGCTAGCTTCACTAAGCATAATCTGCTCTAGTGCCATCCATTTCCCTGCAAATTCTATGATTTTGTCATTTTTTAGTGCTGCGTAATACTCCATGGTGTATAAATGCCACATTTTTTTTTATCCATTCATCTATTGAAGGGCATCTGGGTTGGTTCCACAGTCTAGCAATTGTGAATTGTGCTGCTATGAACATCGATGTAGCAGTATCCCTGTAGTATGCTCTTTTAAGGTCTTCAGGGAATAGTCCAAGAAGGGCAATAGCTGGGTCAAATGGTGGTTCCATTCCCAGCTTTCCCAGGAATCTCCATACTGCTTTCCAGATTGGCCGCACCAGTTTGCAGTCCCACCAGCAATGTACAAGAGTACCCTTTTCCCCACATCCTCTCCAGCACTTGTTGTTGTTTGACTTCATAGTGGCTGCCAATCTTACTGGAGTAAGATGGTATCTTAGGGTGGTTTTGATTTGCATTTCTCTGACTGCTAGAGATGGTGAGCATTTTTTCATGTACTTGTTGATTGATTGTATGTCCTCCTCTGAGAAGTGTCTGTTCAGGTCTTTGGCCCATTTGTTGATTGGGTTATTTGTTTTCTTATTGTTTAATTTTTTGAGTTCTTTGTATACTCTGGATATTAGGGCTCTATCTGAAGTGTGAGGAGTAAAAATTTGTTCCCATGATGTAGGCTCCCTATTTACCTCTTTTATTGTTTCTCTTGCTGAGAGAAAACTTTTCAGTTTAAGTAAGTCCCATTTGTTGATTTTTGTTATCAACTTTTGTGCTATGGGTGTCCTATTAAGGAATTTGGAGCCCGACCCTACAATATGTAGATCGGAGCCAACTTTTTCTTCTATCAGACGCAGAGTCTCTGATTTGATATCTAGCTCCTTGATCCACTTTGAGTTAACTTTTGTGCATGGCGAGAGGAGGGGATTCAGTTTCATTTTGTTGCATATGGATTTCCAGTTTTCCCAGCACCATTTGTTGAAGATGCTATCCTCCCTCCATTGCATGCTTTTAGCTCCTTTATCAAATATAAGATAGTTGTAGCTTTGTGGATTAGTCTCTGTGTCCTCTATTCTGTACCATTGGTCCACCCTCCTGTTTTGGTACCAGTACCATACTGTTTTTGTTACTATTGCTCTGTAATATAGTTTTAAATCCGGTATCGCTATACCACCTGATTCACACTTCCTGCTTAGAATTGCTTTTGCTATTCTTGGTCTTTTATTTTTCCATATGAATTTCATGATTGCTGATATGATTTTTAACTTTGTTCACCAGGTCTTACAGATACCCTGTTTATATCTCTCAGTCTGTCTTTAAATCTTCAGTTGAACTTTCCACTCAGCTGTGTGGCTGGCTCCCTCTGCCTCATTGTACAGAGGGACCCAGACCTCTCCCTGCCCAGCTCAGTCCATGTGTTAACTAAGTTCTCCAAAGGCCTTTTCTGCCTTTGTGCCTACTTCTCAGCATTTTCCTGGGTTTTGAGGTTGTTCTCATACTTAAATTCTTGTAGCAACAATAAATATGTATTATTTATTTGGCAATTGTTAACATATTTTTTTTCTTATCTTGTTTCCCCTACATGTAATATGGTCATGTATTAAGTTTCTGAAAACACACATAAAATTTAAATGTAGGAATGTTTGACAACTTGTATTGATGGTAGCCATTGCAAGAATGTTCATATTAATAACATAGCAGAAAATCTAAAATTATACTTTGCCTTTTGGACAAATTTCACACATTTCATGCACATCTTTTTTTCATGAATATGCGTGCTGTTTCTTAAGCTTATTTTTGCCTCTAGTTTATTTTTGTAGGACTTAATTTCCTTTCATTAGAATCAACTTTTAATTTTTATCTTCTCCATTTAATTTTATAAAACAAGATGCAGATATAATTCATTATTTAAAAATTGTTACGAATGCTTCAGTACTTAAGACATGTCAACACTGCCAAAATCGAAATTATGGTGGAATGGTTCAAAACATTCATTCCTTTAATTGTATGTGAGATGCCCAAATTCTGCATGAGAACTCCCAGTTCAGGAATATTGGAATTCTAGTACTAAAAAGATAAAGGAGGTGATCGTCCAAATTTCAAAATTAAGAAAAGTACAAGATCTGAGGTTGTTGTATTTCTATCCTTCTCCCACATGCAGCACCCCAAATAACTCTCTTTGGGTGTCTTTCACATAGTATGTCTTCAACAAAAGTGTCATGGTGCTGATGTGACTAGCTGTGTTAGTCACTGCTGTATGCTAAGAGCTGTTTAAATAAGACACGTCTCCTCACCTTGGTTGGTGAATCCATCTGTGGTATGGCTTCGCAGTTATAGAATAGACTTTAGTGTTGGATAGCGATCCATTCAAATACTGATTCTACCACTTATTAGAAAAATAGTTCATGTCTTCAAGCCTGAGTGCCCTTGTTGACATGACCTACCTTTCAGATTGGCTAATTCATTCACTCGGTAGGCATTTATGGAATGTTTTCAGTTGCCAAACATTCTTGTGTGAATTAAGTAAGATAATGTCTCTGGGCTTCCTCTGGGTGAAGCTCCAGCAGAGAGCCATCCACATGGGCAATTTTCACTACAGGGAATGATACTTTGAACAAAAATGATAGCTTTGTGATGTTCTTTATCAGCCTGGTCATCACAGTCACCGCAAAAGTTGACAATAAGAGTAAATTTCTCAAACCTTTCCATTGCCTTTTGTTAATTTCTTTCCTTCCTCCCTTTATTCTCTATCTCCTCCCACCTGTCTCTGATATATATATACACATACACAAAACTTGACAAAAGTATATGATCCCCTGTTTACTTTCTTTTGCCAGAATGGAGTCTACTGAAAAATGTGAAGTGGTAATTCAACATTTTAATGGAAAATATCTGAAAACACCACCAGGCATCCCAGGTAAGAAATGTCATTAATAAAGCCTATTGCTATTTTTAAAATGATTATGTGGTAAGGCCCTTCACTGGTCACTGGAAAGAAAAACTTTGCTTTTATAAATCTGCATTTGTTGGGGGGAAGGGTACTGGGGGTTGAACTCAGGGGTACTTAACCACTAATCCACATCCCCAACCCTATTTTGTATTTTATTTAGATACAGGGTCTCACTGAGTTGCTTAGTGTCTTGCTTTTGCTGAGGCTGACATTAAACTCTCAATCTTCTGGCTTTAGCATCCTGAGGCTCAGTGGAGTGGCATGACTGTGTATTATTATTTTTTTATTTATATATGACAGCAGAATGCATTACAATTCTTATTACACATAAACTGCACATTTTTTCATATCTCTGGTTGTATACAAGGTATATTTACCCCAATTTGTGTCTTCATACATGTACTTTGGATAATAATGATCATCACATTCTGCCATTATTTATAACCCCATGCCACCTCCCTTCCCCTCTAACCCCTCTGCCCTATGTAGAGTTCATCTATTCCTCCCATGCTCCCTCTCCCTATTCCACTATGAAGTACTACACACTAACTCATCTTTCTCAAAAGTTTCTTAGTGTATCTTCTTTGGCCTTTTATCTGAATATTTTCTTGGCTAAAGTAAAATAGAAGAAAAACACAGCAAAGTTCATTAACAAAAAGAGTGCGCTTAAAACATTAGGGAAGGTTATAACTCTTATCATTAATGTTGACACCTTGTAGTTTGTAGTTTATAAAATATTAAACAGTGATATTCACAGTGGAGTCCACAGATTGATGCCCGTCTCCAAGCATTTCCTAGAAGTCCATGACAAGAAAAGTACAGAAAGGAAAGTAAGCAATCAGAAACATTTATGGCAATTTGACACTGTCAAAAATTCTAAATGCCAAATTTTATATTTTATAAAAATATCGATTACTGACAGACCAAAACTTTTGAAAAAAATACTATCCATTCATTAGAGATAATTGGAGAAGTTCCAAATTAGACTACCCCATGGCATTTTATAGGGGGAATTTTTAGGCAAAGGTTCTACAAATGTTATAATAAAAGATATAACTTCATGCTCTCAGGAGTTATATTCAGCATAAGAAAAGTCAGATATACCATGTGTATCAGTATTATAAATGCCTCAACTTGATATTAATCTGGCAGCAAGTTACATGTAAAGTATTTGATAATAGGTAAGTTAATTTAAAAAATGTAGTTTCACTAATGCATGAAAACTTAAAAGACTGAAGGGTTAAACTGGGAAAAATTCCAATAAGAACTATTTTTGTGATGAATGTTTTTTTGCTGTTGTTGTTGTTGTTTGTTTGGGGGTTTTGTTTGTTTGTTTTTTGCTTTTTACAGTATGATGATTCTCAGGAAGGAAAACTAAGCTTGATTTCAAAAGTGTTTGTGCCACAATGCAGTGTTAAAGCTCCTTAAAGAATATGGGGTGGACACGTATTTTAGTTCCTTAAAATAGCTCAAGGTTATAGAGAAGGGAAATGTGGGCAAAAAAAAAAATGTTCTTGTGGAAGAGTCAGGAGTTGTTTTGTTTTTGTTTTGTTTATGATTTAGTGGGTGGGTGGGTGGTCAGAAAAGCAAGACGACCCTTCACACTGACACTGGGTGATGTGGAAGACCCAAAGTAGCTGATGACCGGTAAATCAGTGAGTGAACATACAGCAGAGACTGTGCCTTGATCTGGTTATCTCCCATGCATAACATCCCCTCGAGAACCGACTGCATTATGCTCCAATTGGAGACATATGGTGTTGTTAAGAGAGGAGTTAGCAGTTTTCATCTCAGCATGTAAGCTGCCCTTGCATTTTAGGAGAAATACTTTTTTTTCCCCCGTTTAGCATAAACAGATATTTTAAGACAGTCTGCTTAGACCTGTCATTGAATCAAGGAATGGCATTGTTAGTGGATTTTCCTCTTATTTATCCCAGTTGATACAACAGATGCCTGTTTATGCAGCAGGCATTCAAACTAGGTATGAGTTATATTGTTTTGTAAGAAATTTAAAAGCAAGAAAACTATGTGGAAATTATTGTTGATTAAATTTTAACATGGGTATTTTACTTTTTAGATTTCATCGTTTTGGAAAAAAAGACATTGAAATCCTTCTTGACCCAATTGATTTTAAAATGTTTTGTTTGGTTTTCCCCATAGAGCATACAGTTGACTAATGCAATTTAATGCTTAAGACAAAGAATGTCACTGCAAATCCTCAAATGTCCGGGCGTCCTTCTTGAATACACAGACTGTGACATTAACCTATCTAATATCATAGCTACACCCAATGGAAACATTGTGAATAGCAGGAATTTGGTTATAAGTTTCTCTTCACTTAGATCTCATGGAAATAAGAAAAAAAATGATACTCAATTATAAAACTCTTAGAGATATAGTTTATGAGCTTTGCACTCAATATAATAGAATTGAACATATAATATTGATCAGCATCTATTCTCAAATTTGCTTGTTTATGTATCACTTTGGAAGTCAATTAGTTTAATAGAAGTTTCAGATGGTAATTAAAAATACTTAATCATTGATATGTAAATATATGTGAAATAAAAGAGGACATAAGGTAAGATATGGGTATTTTTAAAGGTTCAGTAGTAAAATCTTTACTGGTATCATTTCTATGTGAGGCCTGGTATAATCAAATTTGGTTATGTTATCTGTCTTTACTCATCCTCAATGCTTATTTTGTTAGATATCATTGAAATCTTATTTTCAGAAATTCATATCTTAATCCAAATTTTTATTCCATCTTGAAGACAGGAAAAGGAATATCACTAGTCCTGATAGCTGGGGATAGTCCTTTGACTTATTTTTTAAAGTGACCATTTTCCTAACCAATTTCAATACAGTATTTTAGTGAGCTTGTCCTTGCTTGTGATTGTACTAATTAAAACCAACATTAATTGATTTGGTCTACCTAAAACAAAAATAGAAATCAATAAAATCTGAAAAGGCTCAGTATACTGCACTACCAAAATTTAGCATGCTTGAGTTCAGAAACTGATGATTTTTCAGAACTGCACATTGATGATTTTCATGCAGGACTTTAAGACCGAGTAAATGAGGACCCACAGTGATCCAGTAATGGCCTGAGATTCTCAGGCACCAAGTCTGGTGTCAAAAGATTACATGCAAAATAAGTTAGGTTCTTTTTAAAAGCTCTGCTTTTAATCTTACTCCAAGCAAGTACCAAGCAATGGGTACCATATTCCCTTGCTGACCTCTCCATTTATGAAGGTATTGGGGAAATACTGCATGTGCTATTGAGCAAATACAATGCCATTTTTATGTCTGTTGCTCAAGAAAATAATGATTATTCCCCCAGGATATGTGAAGCTAATTATTTTCCTGAGATGAACATATAGTTTTCAAATTTCCTAGGGTGCCATTTTTATAAAATAAAGAGAAAAATAACTACTTCAACCCAAAACTTTGACATTTTGCCTTTAATTAATTTCTTCTTCTTCTTTTCTTTGTCTCTTTGTTTGTTTGTTTCTTTCTCTTTATTTTCTTGGTACCCAGGATTGAACCCAGGGGCACTTAAACACTGACCTGCATCCCCAACCCTTTTTATATTTTATTTTGAAACAGGGTCTCCCAAAATTGCTTAGGACCTTGCTATGTTGGCAAGGCTGGCTTTGAACTTGCAATCATCCTGCCTCAGCCTCCTGAGCCACTAGGATTACAGGGGTGCACCACTGTGCCATTGTCTTTGAATTTCAAATCCTAACATTTCATAGTTAAGGACATTTGCAAGGACATAAAACATTGACCACATTTATGTTGCTGGCACCATTTTTATTTGAATCATCATGAAAATAACTTTCTCTTTAAACATGATTCATGTTGATATGGAGTTTTCATTCCTGATAGATAATGTGAGCTAGGAGGGAATTTTATATATACCTTCTTTTGGATCTTGCTTTCCCTCTGGACTCCTCCAATTTATTCATAAAATATCTAATTTTAATGAGTATAACATGAATCATTAATGCCTCTTAGCATCTCCCCAAACCCACCTTGTTTACTTTAGATTATAATGTTATTCCTAGGTTTTCATTACCTGGAATAGTGAAGCTAAATATCAATGCCAGAAATCAAACTTTGAGTAGGAGCGTAGTTGATACAGGAAGTTAACAAAATCAGGCACCAGTGTTGCTATGAGCAGGTAAGAAGGAGAGGCTATAGAGGCAGGTGTTAAACAGTGTCAATCATTTGAGTGTTGTTGCCATCTGCAGAAAAAGTTCATCCAGTATATTCTCCCTCCCCTAGAGAAAAAAAAAGAAAACACAGTGTTCCATAAATGTTGCATGTCCTACATATCGATCTTGATGCTTTCTGGACAAAATGAAGGATCATTAGTTGCTTGCCTGCCTAACCCCAGACATTTCTTTGTCCTGTAATGAATCGCACAGCAATGTTGTGCAGCCCCAAAGCGTTCCAATTTCAAATATCTGGCAAAAGCAAAGGGTAAGTTCCCAGACACTTCAGGGATCTGTAGGGCATGAACTTGAAAGGCTCACTTTCAAAGAGCCCCCGGAGCACAGCAATGCACCATGCGGAAAAGGCTTCCACATGTAAGGACATGTATTGATGAACAGAACATGCAGCCTGGCTTATAGAAAAATAAATCATGGTGTGCTCTCAGACTAGATGTTTGCCTGTAAGCACATGTTCCTATCAGTAAAAGAATGTTTCCTGAAGAAAATGGAATAATCCACTTCTGATAGGACTTTCTCATTTTTAGATAATTGTTTCTCATCCCAATTAACCCCAAGAGGTAGGGAAGGTTTGAGAGGAAGCTTACCATTATAGGTCCTTTTCAAATTTAACAGATCTGTTACCAACAGAAATTTAAACAAATATTGAAGTACTAGAGAACATGTTTTTTTATAATAAATAAAATAAAACTTATGTGCCTTCTGATGCTTGACCATAGTAATTTTACT